CACACACACACACACACACACACACACACACACACACACACACACAAACATGTTTTTGAGATGAATTTACACGACGAGGGGAAAGAAACAACTCTGCAGTGCCAACACGAGTAAATAAAATGTTAGATTGTGACGACGCTGTTTTCTATTTTAAAGGTTACACAAGACTTTTGTGAGGAGCTGCTGCACACTTCCACCTACAGATGATTGCAGTCAGTAATTAAGACCTGACCTCAAATCAGAAAAAGAGAAACAGGTTTAACTAACAGAGTGGAAAGCTAATCAAACAGCCAGGATTACTTCTGCTTTGATGCTAATAAGTTTATTCCACTGATTTCACATCTCAACCTCATAGCTGCACTGTGTACTTCATGTGCTCCATCACTGTTAAGGCTGATGGATTTATTTACAGTAAAAGAGTCCAGCACGTTATGCACATGCAGACGACTTTACATTTGACTTCTGTGTTTGGTTATCACCTACAGTTTATGTTTCCTATAACTTAAGCATGGCTTTATTAATTTTACCAGTTAGAAGTAAAAGGAGCAGAGCTTTAATAGCTCACTGGTTCATCACTGCACTTAACCTCCTAGGACCTGGCGTCCACATATGTAAGGGCTGATATCAGGCCCTTGTAGATCAAAATCAGGTAAAAAGATCATTCTTTGTTTTTCATTCGTCAGTTCCCAATCAGCCCAGGCAGCAAAGAGAAATTAAAAATGCATGCCGTGAAAGAGTTTGGGTCTTAGGAGGTTGAACAAACAGACAGCAAAACTTTAAAGAACGTGTCACACAGACCACGGGGATCCAGCACCTGTTGCTGCAGCACTCTTTCACGCACAATGAAGCGATAAAGAGACACAAACGATCGAAAAGCCCGAATTCTGTCAGAAAGGCTGAACAAAGCAGTCTAGCTGTCTGATGTGAACGCGTGGGCTACTCACCGAGTAAAACTATCAGCCACTTGATCCGCAGAGTCGCTCTCATCCTGTCTCTGATGGTCTCTTCTCCCGGATGGGTTTATCCTTCATGCAGCGCTGCGCTACAATCCCTCACTTTGTATTTGAGATGTTGCGCTAATGGTGAAACTGAGTCCTGCAGCCGGCTGTCACGCCTTTCTTCTTGAATTTGTATCTCAGAACAAATGATCGCCCCGCGTATTGTAATTTTCTTCTTCTTCTTTTAAACTGAAAGCCAAGAATGTCTTTGTGTGTGTGCACCGCGTCTTTCTCCCCTCTCCACAGAGTCGGGGATTTGGGGGAAGAGTGTTTCTGTGGTCTCCTTGGCTGCACCGTTGTTCCTCAGGCTCTCTCTCCCTCTCTCTCTCTGCTGTATCGTCAGCTCTCTTCTGCAAAGTGTTCAGCTGTTTGCAGACCAGAAGCACGGCCCTGCCTCCCTTATCATGAGAAAACAGGGGCAGGTCCAGTCCCACAACTCACCGCTTCTCCTGACACTTTGGATAACATAGGAAGCAGTGAGACAATGTGTTCCACTGGCTTTGATTCATTAGTTAAAATGATCTAAATTGACTGGAGGACGCGGGTGAAGTCACACATGCAGATCAAAGGAAATGCCTGCTTGTATTCACTGAGGGGACCCTGATTCTTGTGTGTGTGTGTGTGTGTATTGGCCACCTCTTGGACTGAAAAATGAAACCTGTGCCACGAACTGCAATTCCTGGAGTGTCTACTGAGGCTGGCTGTAATAAAAGATCAGTTTATCTGCTTAAAGTCTTTGTTGGTTTATGAGTCTACATAAACGTGCTTAACTGATAGTTGTTTTGAACACCAAATAACACCAACAGTTGAACATTGTTGTAAAGTAAATATTCTAATAGAGAAATATC